GTTGGGACTAGCAGGACCCCGTGGTGCCACTGGGTTGGGTGGGCTGAAGAGGGACCTGGAGGTGTTGGGCATCGTCCTTCTGGAGCTGGGCCCTGGGGGGGGAGATGGATGATGGGATGGAGGGGGTCGGGGGATTTCACGTTGCTGGTCCCCCTCTGTGGCCATCCATCACCCATCCATCCATCATCTTCATAGACATCCATGTAGTCATCCTTTCATCCATCCGTTGCTGTGCTCGTCCTCCTGTCCATCCGTCTGTCCATCCACCTGTCTCAATCCAATCTCATCCACTCCTGTCCATCCATCCGTCACCACACACAACCAGTCCTCCATCCCATCCGTCCATCCACCTCTTCATCCATGCACCTCTTCATCCATCCACCTCTCTGTCCATCCACCTCTCTGTCCATCCACCTCTCCATCCATCCACCTCTCCATCTATCCATTCATCTGTCCATCTGTCCAGCTCTCCATCTATCCACCTCTCTGTCCATCCATCCATCCCCCTCTTCATCCATCCATCCATCCATCCATCCACCCATCCCCCCCTTCACCCATCCATCCATCCATCCATCCATCCATCCATCCATCCATCCATCCATCCATCCATCCTTCCATCCCCTCAGTCCATCCCTCCATCCCCACACAACACCAACCCTCCATCCCTCCATCCCCCATGTCCAACTGACCCTTCTCTCCCACCATCCCTCCCTCTATCCACTCATCCATCCCTCCCTCCCCACCCTCCACCCATCCTTCAGTCCGTCCGATCCCACCTGCGCTCCACCTCCTCCACCGTCTCGGGCAGCGCCATGTCCCGTGTCTCTGGCAAGAAGATGGCCACCAGCCCTGACACCACGGGAGCTGCCCCGTAGATGATGAAAGGCAACGTGGGGAAGACCTCACCCGCCATCTTCACCAAGGGAGCCGTGATGCTGCCCAGCCGTGCCATGGTGTTGGCCAACCCCATGCCCGTCTGCCTGTGGGACACCAACAGGTCCTGAAGGACCGTCCGACGTGGTCACAGCCACCCCGTCACCTCCTCC